GTTATGTCGTTCACGTATACCAAGAACAGCACAGGTCCTAGGACTGACCCCTGTGGAACCCCGCTTGTCACAGGCGCCCACTCTGACACCTCGTCGTGTGTGTGTGTGTGTGTGTGTGTGTGTGTGTGTGTGTGTGTGTGTGTGTGTGTGTGTGTGTGTATGTGTGTATTCACCTAATTGTACTCACCTAATTGTGGTTGCAGGGGTCGAGACTCAGCTCCTGGCCCCACCTTTTCACTGATCGCTACTAGGTCCTCTCCCTCTCTGCTTCCTGAGCTTTGTCATACCTCTTCTTAAAACTATGTATGGTTCCTGCCTCCACTACTTCACTTGCTAGGCTATTCCACTTCCTGACGACTCTGTGACTGAAGAAATACTTCCTAACGTCCCTGTGACTCGTCTGAGTCTTCAGCTTCCAGTTGTGACCCCTTGTTTCTGTGTCCCCTCTCAGGAACATCCTATCTCTGTCCACCTTGTCTATTCCCCGCAGTATCTTGTATGTCGTTATCATGTCTCTTCTGACCTTCAGTGTCGTCAGTCCAATTTCCCTCAACCTTTTCTCGTACGACATTCCCCTGAGCTCTGGGACTAGCCTTGTTGCAAACCTTTGTACTTTCTCTAACTTCTTGATGTGCTTGACCAGGTGTGGGTTCCAGACTGGTGCTGCATACTCCAGTATGGGCCTAACATACACAGTGTACAGTGTCTTGAACGATTCCTTATTAAGGCATCGGAATGCTATTCTCAGGTTTGCCAGGTGCCCGTATGCTGCAGCAGTTATTTGGTTGATGTGTGCCTCCGGTGACGTGCTTGGTGTTATGGTCACCCCAAGGTTTTTCTCCCTGAGTGAGGTCTGTAGTCTTTGTCCACCTAGCCTATACTCTGTCTGCGGTCTTCTTTGCCCCTCCCCAATCTTCATGACTTTGCATTTGGCAGGGTTGAATTCGAGAAGCCAGTTTCTGGACCACATGTCCAGCCTGTCCAGGTCTCTTTGCAGTCCTGCCTTATCCTCATCCGATTTAATTCTCCTCATGAGCTTCACATCATCTGCGAATAGGGACACTTCAGAGTCTATTCCTTCCATCATGTCATTCGCATGTATCAAAAATAGCACTGGTCCTAGAACTGACCCCTGTGGGACCCCACTCGTCACAGGCGCCCACTGTGATACCTCTTCACGTACCATGACTTGTTGCCTCCCTGTCAGGTATTCCCTGATCCATTGCAGTGCCCTCCCTGTTATATGCGCCTGATCCTCCAGCTTCTGCACTAATCTCTTGTGGGGAACTGTGTCAAAGGCCTTCCTGCAGTCTACGAAAATGCAGTCAACCCACCCCTCTCTTTTGTGTCTTACTTCTGTTACCTTGTCATAAAACTCCAGAAGGTTTGTGACACAGGATTTGCCTTCCATGAACCCATGCTGGTTTTCATTTAAAATCTTGTTCCGTTCCAGGTGTTCCACCACTCTCCTCCTGATAATCTTCTCCATGACTTTGCACACAATGCATGTCAGAGACACAGGTCTGTAGTTTAGTGCCTCATTTCTGTTTCCTTTCTTAAATATGTGTGTGTGTGTGTACTCACCTATTTGTACTCACCTATATGTGGTTGCAGGGGTCGAGTCCTAGCTCCTGGCCCCGCCTCTTCACCGGTTGCTACTAGGCCCTCTCTCTCCCCGCTCCATGAGCTTTATCAAACCTCTTCTTAAAACTGTGTATGGTTCCTGCCTCCACTACGTCATTTTCTAGGCTATTCCACTGCCTTACAACTCTATGACTGAAGAAATACTTCCTACTATCTCTCTGACTCATTTGTGTCTTCAACTTCCAATTGTGGCCTCTTGTTTCTGTGTCCCCTCCCTGGAACATCCTGTCTTTGTCCACCTTGTCTATTCCACGCAGTATTTTATATGTCGTTATCATGTCTCCCCTGACCCTCCTGTCCTCCAGTGTGGTCAGGCCGATTTCCCTTAATCTTTCTTCATAGGACATTCCCCTTAGCTCTGGAACTAACCTTGTCGCAAACCTTTGTACTTTCTCTAGTTTCTTGACGTGCTTTATCAAGTGCGGGTTCCAAACAGGTGCTGCATACTCCAGTATGGGCCTGACATACACGGTGTACAGTGTCTTGAATGATTCCTTACTAAGGTATCGGAATGCTGTTCTCAGGTTTGCCAGGCGCCCATATGCTGCAGCAGTTATCTGATTGATGTGTGCTTCCGGAGACATGCTCGGTGTTATACTCACCCCAAGATCTTTCTCCTTGAGTGAGGTTTGCATTCTTTGGCCACCTAGCCTATACTCTGTCTGTGGTCTTCTGTGCCCTTCCCCTATCTTCATGACTTTGCATTTGGCAGGATTAAATTCGAGAAGCCATTTGTTGGACCAGGTGTCCAGTCTGTCCAGGTCTCTTTGAAGTCCTGCCTGGTCCTCATCAGATTTAATTCTCCTCATTAACTTCACATCATCTGCAAACAGGGACACTTCTGAGTCTAACCCTTCCGTCATGTCGTGTGTGTGTGTGTGTGTGTGTGTGTGTGTGTGTGTGTGTGTGTGTGTGTGTGTGTGTGTGTGTGTGTGTGTGTGTGTGTGTGTGTGTGTGTGTGTGTGTGCGTGCATGCCTATTTGTGATTGCAGAGGTCAAGTCACAACTCCTGGCCCTGCTGTGTTGCTGGTCACTACTTGGTTCATTCTCTCACTGCTCCATGAGCTTTATTGTATCTCTTAAAGCTATACATGGATCCTGCTTCCACTACATCCCTCTCCATATTGTTTCACTTCCTGACAACTCTGACTGAAGAAATATTTCCTAACATCCCTGTGATTCATCTGAGTTTTCAACTTTCAGTTGTGATTCCTTGTTGCTGTGTCCTGTCTCTGAAATATTCTGTCCCTGTGCACCTTGTCAATTCCTCTCAGTATTTTATATGTTGTTATCATGTCCTCCTATCCCTCCTGTCCTAAAGTGTCATCAGGTTGATTTCCTGTAACCTCTCCACATAGGTCATAGCCCTTAGCTCCAGGATGAGTCTTGTTGCAAATCTTTGCATTTTCTCTAATTTCTTGATTTGCTTGACCAGGTGTGGGTTCCAGACTAGTGCCACATACTCCAACACGAGCCCGATGTATACGCTGTACAGAGTCTTGAATGACTCCTTACTCAGGTGTCGAAATGCTATTCTTAGGTTTGCCAAGCACCTGTATGCCTCAGCACTTATTTGGTTGATGTGCCTCAGGAGATGTGCTCGGTATGATACTTGCCCCAAGATCCGTTTCCTTGAGTGAGGTTTGCAGCTTTTGGCCCCTGTAGCCTATATTCTGTCTGCAGTCTTCTTTGACTTCTCCTATCTTCATGATTTTCCACTTGGTGGGGTTCAACTCCAGGAGTCAGTTATTGAACGAGGCTTGCAGCCTGGTCCAATAACTGACCCCTTGTAGTCCTTACTGATCCTCATACATTTAGAGTCTCTGCATTAGCTTCACATCATCTGCAAACAGGCACCTCTGAGTCTATTCATTCTGTCATGTCATTCACATATGCCAGAAACAGCACCGGCCCTATGACTGACCATCGTGGAACCCCACTCGTTACATGCACCCACAATGACACCTTGTCATGTACCATCATTCGTTTCCTTCCTGTCATGTATTCTCTGATACATTGCAGTGCTTCCTGTTATTCTTGCCTGCTCCTCTAGGTTTGGCACTAATCTCTTGTGTGGAACTTGTGTTGAAAGCCTTTTTACAGTCCAAGAAAATGCAATCAACCCACCCCTATCCCTCCTGTCATACTTCAGTCACCTTGTAGTAAAACTCCAGTAGGTTTGTGACTGGATTTGCCTTCCCTTTATAAGCTCATTCCTTTCTAAGAGCTCCACCACTCCTCTGATAAGCTTCTCCATGACTTTGTATATATGTCAATGACACTGGTCTGTAGTTTAATGTTGCCTGTCTGTCTCTTTCTTAAAAATTGAAACTACATTTGCTGTTTTTCACAGCTCAGGTAGTTGCTCTATTTTGATAGATGTGTGAAGGTCTCCCTTATGCTATGGCAGTTTCTCATCTCTGCCTCCAAGGGAGACTACCCCGTGTTTCTTATTCTCATGTTTCAAAACGTCCCCCCACTTCTGGGTCCCATGTTCTGCAGCCTCCTCTGTTGTTACCCCTCCCATAGTCACTTCTGTATCTAATTCTTTTGCTGTCCTGGGCTCTGACATCCCTATTTCAACACCTCATTCTGTTCTCACATCTTCGTGTCCTTCCTCACAAGCCCCAGTATCGACAAGACCTCATACGACACCTTATACCAATCGCCCCTCT